AAAAACTTGCAGGTCCAAAATAATGCATTACTTTAATATATATGAAAATAGTAAAGTTTTTCAACACCAATTGAAGTAGAACACGAGATGCTGATGATAAATAAAGATAAAAAAAGTAGATTTATTACAGCTCTAGAATTTGCCCCAAATCCTCATAAACTGAGGAAGAGAAGCAAAATGGGATGTTATAAAAAAAAAAAAAAAAAGTTACATTCTGGTCTTTTAACTGTTATATGGATCTTCGATTTGGTTCATAAACTAAGAAAATCTATAATTTGATTCCTATTGTTCACTAATTTGACTTCAAATTGGTCCTTTCATTAAAAAATAACTGATTTATTCATTACTTAATTACAAAAAATTGTTACTTAACGATTACATGTCACATTAATAAAGAGACATATTAATTGTTTTTATATAGAAGGATCAATTTGAGGCTAAATTGATAAATAATAGGGATAAAATTAAGGATTTTTTTAGTTCATAAACCAAATTTAGGATCCGTGCAATAGCTAAGGGATTAAATTGGAGATTTAACCAAATTGGGGTAAACCCTCTTAAGCCCCTAGTTAGGCTTATTTTAAATTAACACATGAGTTTCTAAATTAAAAACAATATAAATAATTAACCATTTAAATAGTTTAGCAATAATTTTATTTTAATAAAAGTAAAATATCTTGAATTAATGTCATATAATTGTGATCGATGTGGATTAAGAAATAAAAAAAATTACGTTTTATTATGCAACCCAAAATTTTAAAAAATGTAAATAAATATTCAAACCTCTTGATGTTGCAAATTAATCTATATATACATATATGGAAAAAGTTTCTGTCAGCTTTGCCTCTTAAAAATTAGAAGGAAAATCATCATAAAATTACGTCGTTTCAATAATTTTTTATTAAAAAAGACTAAACTACCATATTTTTAAAGCATACATGATTGAAAAAGATTAAACTACTATACTTTTAAAGCATGCATTAAAGTAATTTTTATTTTTTTTTTCTCTTAATTTTTTAGAGATAAAACATACAGCACTAACCCCTGTATACATTACCGAAAATAAAAACAAAGCTCTCCCGGAAATTTTTTTCTACCGAAATGAAAACAGTCTTTTTGAATAATAGTCTGCTTTATGTCTAAGTTTATGTAGGAAGTCAAAGGACGTGTTTTAGTCAAAAGGGTACTGTGATTTTGATTCTGTGATGCTATCATGATTGTCTAATATGGAAGTCCAGATTGAATAGTGATTTTATTGAATGATTTTTTATTTCACATTTTTATTGTCTTGTTTTATGTGAGTTTTGAGTTCTTTAAGTATTTTATTATTTTCTTTGGTTATCATAAGTTATGATTTTGATTTGTTGATATTTGATAATATTGTTTTGTGTGATTTTTAATAATTTTTATAAGAATTTTAGTTACTCCATTTTTCTACTATGTTTGTCTCTAATTTTAATTATTATATTTATATTTTTGTTCTTTTTATTTAATGGCTGTTGTGGTAGCGGATTTTGGCCTTTTCACTGTTCCGTTATTGATAATACTGTAGCGTAGTACCAAATCAAAGACAAGTTTCCAGTTTCCCAAAAAGTCCTAGATAAAAAAGAACTGCAAAGCATACATTGTATCTAGTAGAAATTTATGCAGAAAGCAGGACCATGTTATATACACAATAGGTTTCAATTTATATTTACAATCATCAACATAAATTTCTGAGGAAGAGGGAAGCCTACAACTTGACATCAGTGGTAAACTAAATATTGCCTCATTTGCTCATATCCTTCTAACTGTACATTGCTTTTTCATAAACCGACTTTTTGTTCTCTCTTAGGCATAGATACATATGTCTCATGTTCCTTGGTTAGTTGATGATATATACACATGATACATCTTGCATTCTTTGGTTAGTTTTTTCCTTCACTCTAATCAGGGCAGAAGATCGTAAGAGCACTGGGATTATTTCACAAGTTTATGCAAAGGGATTTCCTCCAACGGAAGGAAAAGGCCTTTGAAATGTAGTAGGAGCAGAGAATCCACCACCATTCAGCTGCTGACTGGCATCTAAGGTGCTGAAAACAATTCCGTTATTGTCAAATGCCCCAACTCCTGGATATCTGCAGCTTCGGAACATTTGTCACTAAACCAAATGAAAAAATTATGTAACCTTCTCTTTATAACACCGCAGTAGACAATAGCTGTTTTATTAGGGAAGTAAACCATTTCAGTTTCTATATGTTTTATAGGGGCAAGAGGATTCTCTACATATATATATATATATATGCTATGTTTGATAATGAGTTATATATAACAAAGGATAGCCCTCTTCTTCCCCAACCCTTCCTCACCCATCCTATGATTCGAAATTGAAACCTCCAATATGGTGGGTTAAGCTTTTAACCACTAAGGCGTCATCTAAGAACCTTTATTTGTTATTTTTGAGAAACTAATGTAATCTTTTAGTAATTAATATTTTGTAAGGTACTATTTCATTTACAGGAAATATCCAAATAGGATATGATGAATAAATTATACCAGACAAGGAACTGGTTATATCAAATTAAATAGAATAAACAAAAAAATTACCTGGCATGTGGCAACTGATTGGGTAATTGTTGACCTGTACAAGCACCTGGAGAGATTATAATTGTATTTCAGAAAAACTGAAGTAAATAATTTCACAGAAATATCAGAAAGGAAGGTGGACTGATGAGTAGTAATATTGATTATTACTAGGAGACATTTCCGACTTGTATATGGGATGGGAAGGCACTGCAACGTAAGGTAATGATTGTGGCAGCACCCCTTGCGGGGAAATGGAAGGCTGCAACAAACCACTGGGTGACATTGCATTCGCTGGTGCTCCTTGCAAAGAAGCCATAGAAAAAATCTGCAATAGAAAACAGTTTGGCTGTCAACTATCACATGAACTTAGCTGGGATGCAATTAGAGTAGAAACGTCGCAGGAACTAAACGCTCTCATTTACTTTCTGAGTTCTTTTTAGCACTTCAACTAAATCCAAGTAAGTTCAATTTTAAATATTTAGGTCCCTGACATTACGAGTAGATGCTGCTTATTTTGAGACCTAGGTCAACTGATGAAATGCACAGTGGTATTTCCTCAAGAAAAAAAGAAAAGAAAAGACGTTTTGCAACACTAGCTAAGACTACTCACAACACACCAAAAAAAACCGTTCATTGACTTCGCAACAATATGCTTGACAACTCTACAACACCTAATTATTCTCCTATTTGCCTGCTTAGAATTTTAGTAGGAACTTAAACTACAAGTAGCTTAATTTCTACTAATAACCGGTCTCTCTCTAATTTTCTATCTCTCATACTAATTGGATTACATTTTTAACCTACATCTTTTATGACTTTACCTATGCCTCCTATGGTTTACTAAACCATAATGTCTAGTTATGCCTGCATCCATCTGATATCAAAGTTAGACTGTTTGAGCTCTAAAGCATGTACTAGCAGACGAGGCAGATGGCCAAGAAAGTTTGAATTAGCAATTAAATCACAGAAGAAACACTTTTGACCCAGTACAAGGGGGACAATATTAGTTGAGCCACCTCCAACCATAGTTGCATTGATAAATTCAAGAAATAAAAAACAAAACAAAAGAAACCTGGGAACAACCATTCCTCCAAAGGGATCATCATTTAACATTCAACCTCTCACATTCATAGGTTTTTTTGTTATTCAATCCACTAATTCAACTATGGAAATTCTTGGAAAACTGTATAGACCAAGAGCATAGGACTTCATTAACACCCTTGTCAGTAACAATCTCCATCATAAAGTTTAGTAACCAAATCTCAAAGTAAAAACTGAAATAGATGTATACCCCTGGGGATTGAACCATGTGTATTTGACTGTTAAGATCAAATGGGTTTCTTGATGTCACTGGTTGGCTAAAAGCTTGCACCTGCTGTTAGTAGAAACCCAAGGATACAGATTAGCAACTCAACTCCATAAAAATCAGACATATTAGCAACAAACTAATTCATTAACAAGTCTTGCTTAATTACCATCGAAGAAGGGTATTGTAAGCTAGAACCCATGACATGGGCTTGACTTGGTTGCCACCCCGGGAATGGTGCAGGAACTGGTGAATAAGGGGCTGTAAAGAGGTACTGAAGACCATCCAAAATTTTTTAAGAGACCAAAACAGGAATAAAATAAAGAATAAAAAAATAAACTTGATAATCATATTTCTGATGTCTGAATTCAGTTTTGTCCACCGGCAAATAAATAAACAAGAAATGCATGTAGGGATACAAATTAACAGAAAAAGGAAAATCAGATATACCTCTGGAAGTTCTCTTGTGCTAGACCTTTTTCCTGGGAGAGGAGATTGCAATTCAGCTGCGGAACTGGTCTTATCAATCTGTGTAGAAACAGTCTGAGATGAACGTGCAATTGGACTACCTGAAACTACTTGGGCAGTGGACCGAGTAGTTGTATCAGTGGTTGTGGAATGTTTAGGCTGCTGAACGGCTTGCCCTGGTTCCAAATGATTAACCTTGCTGAGGAAATTGTCAGCCCTATGTGATGGTGACGGTGCACCTGATGGATCAGCCTCTGGAGCAGAAGATCTGCCACTAAGGGTTGAGGTTGATAGATTGCTTGATGTTGCAGAAGTAGAAACAACATCATTGCCAGATAATGTAGGTGTGTTAACATCTGCTGGAAGCATGATACGAGTAATAGCTGCA